GGGGGGGAAAAAAAAAAAAAAAAAAAAAAAAAAAAACGAGTGATTAATTTTCTATTCATTATTCTGCCTTAGGGTAAGAAAAAATCAGAGGTATCTATTAAAAAAATTCTCCGTACTCCTCCTATGGCTTGCTGTTTTGCCTCCTCGCGTTTTGCCTCACAGACTCAGAAGATTTTTGAAATTTCTTTACTAGTTATTGTACTTTGATTGGAATGAGTATGCTTCTCATGCTACTGATAAGCTAAGAAAATAGCGAATTATGAGGTTAGCGATACGAAGCCGGCATGAAGAGACTGCAGCGTGGCCATAATCTTACGCTCGCAATCGCTTTGTATTCGTTTCACACTATTCATCAGTTGCGTGTACTTCTCTGACGTGCCCGACTGGTCCTCCAGTTGCGAGCATCTGCAAATCAGTGATTAATGTTGAGAATCGCTCTAAAAAAGTGCTAAAAGCAAAACAAATCTTTCGAATATGCTTGCCCTAGACAGGAATGTTAGTGTTAAATCATGGAAACTGATCTTCTTCACAAACGAGGATGGAGATTTCCGTGTGGTGGGTGAAAGGGTCGGTTAAAGGGAAAACATAATCTAATAGGAGCGAGAGGCTTCAAGAAACTGGCGCTGTTTTGCGTTTCTGCAACAAATTGCTACGAATATCTAGTTGGAAAACGAACCAAAACAAACAGCAGTGGTCTTTTAATCAATTTAAATAGCTAATTTTCGAAACAGTGACTTGCCTCAACCCGGGGTTTTATTATCACACCGCAATTAAACATGCGATCAAAAGGCAAGTTCAAGTAAGACTGCTTCTAATTTTTTCAAAATTTGTTCGGCTACTGCTTCTCTTCGCCTTTCACCATGTTCATTTCGTATAGGTAGGAAAAATACCGGGATTCTGAATCCAAGTTTTTTGAGTTGCGAAATCAGTCGAAATTTAAGTCCGAAGTTTCTGATTAGAATATGGTCAAATGGTAAATCTCTTTACCATTCGTTTCGATGGTAAACTGTTACTGGCATTTGCCAGGAAGTCGATTTCCTCATCAGCATGATGGTGAACAACTCCGAAAAAGAAGACCCGGAAACAGACTCAAAAACAAGCAAAAAGCAACGAACTTTTCATGGCTTGGGCAACAATGCCTGAGTAGTGAGCACTGCTGCCTAAGAGGCGCCATCCGAGCTGCACAGTACTCGAATGCACTTTTTCGAGATTTCAAATTATCGAACAGCTCCTTATCCACATCATCCTTTTCGTCCAGCAATGAATGTGGCATCATTGCTTCACACATTGTCTTCTAGAAAATCCTTAAGATATTTCACATTCTGTTGTCCGTTCGTTTTCCGATCTGATCAGCACGTAACAGTATCTTTAAGTAGCTTAAAAAACTTACATCATTGTATGCAATAAGGTTTCGAATTGGAGCTGTGCGACGAGTGCACGAAATGCGACTCGAATCAATCTCATCCAAAAAGCCCGAAAGCTGCAATGAGTTCAAATTCGACAAATTCCTTGTATATATTAGACTTATTTTCAGTGTAATCCAGATTTTGATGTCCAAATTAGTGATTATGACCGAAATCTTGATTATGATCGAAATCAATTTAGTGATTATGACCGAAATCAATTTAGTGTGAAATATTGCAGGTTCGGTCCCACTAATTCCTGAATCTGCTCTGGATTTTAAAGACAAACAGCTTTAAAATCCCTACAAACACAATCAGCGGATTTGAGGCATACACAAAGTGAAGAAATTTCACACCTGTTGCTGAACAACACTTGTTATAGGTCTCAAACATGCTTTTGAAACTGCTTCTGTTGCGCCTGCTAAAGCCGAATTTGCAACCAGTTCTGCTTGCACAATTAAATCCGATAATTCCGCGTCTTCGTCTGCAACTGCAATCTGTCAGTATCTCGGAATTCAGAATCCAAGCGCTGCTTGTATAATCAAATTATATTTTTTTGCAAAAATGCCTGCTTTTTGCGTTTTTGCATTTTTGTACAAAAGTTTTCACAAAGATACCCTAGCTAACATGAGACCATTTAACTTGAAACCAACGTTTGAGCACACCTGGATCAAAGGGCAGCTAGACATGTAAATAC